AAGTCCTAGAGATTCGTTGGCTGACATATATATATATATATATATATATATATATATATATATATATATATGACGTTTTAATGAAAATAAGCACTAAACAAATGTACTTAACAAAATTATCTGGAAAATGTTTAGTTTAACATAATGAGGAAGCACTGATTAGTTGATGCAATGTTCTTCTTGTTTCTAATGGTATATACTTTCAAATAACCTTATAAATTTTCATATCTAGGCACAGAAACAACCACTGGATATAAGAAATGAATGTATCAATGTATTCATTCATCTGGATTACATATCAGTGAAAATACACATACGTATATATACAATATAAACATACAATTGTTTCTATCTACATATTGTAAGCCTGTGTTTCACATTCTCTCCTATTTCGTACTGATCTCACTTGTTTAATAAAATCAAAAAAAAAAAAGAAGAAAGAAACGAATGTAAATGCATTACAAGGTCATTGCGCTAGTGACTTTTCAATTTTAATCGTTATCCTTTTCTACTAATGCATTATAATTTTGTTTGGATAGACCAAGTGAGTGAGTGAGTGAGTGAATGAGTGCGTGTGTGTGTGTGTGGATGTGAATGTGTTACTGTATCAAAAAGTTCTAAACAGTTAAAATAAACAAAGGAGTAAAAGATTTTGAAGTTATAATTTTGATTGAAAGTAATTATTCACATGTTAGAACAATCAATATAAGGCAGTAGATTAAATGGAAATGAAATAGGATATAAAGATTAAAACGTATTATTGTATTTCCTGTTAAAATATGAGTTTGAACAAGTTCAGAATAGGGTTGTGGAGAATAATAAGTTTTTGATTGAGATTATGAACCAATTAATGTTGGACCACAACTAAAAACCTGGAAGAACTGGATGACCGTTTCGTCCCGTTTCGGGAACTCTACAGCAGTGCTCATCCAGGATGTTGTGCTTGAGACTGAAGGTTCTTGGTTCGAATTCCGAGAAAGGGATCGTGGATGTTTACTGCTGAGAAGTTCCACAGTAGGACGAAACGGCCATCCAATGCTTCCAGGTTTTTAATGATAGTCTAATATTAATCAAAAAATTTATTTTACAGAATACCCATTTGACATAATATTTTTGACTATTCTCGCTGGATAAGTGAACACAAATGATGTAGATCCTTTTTTTATTTTATTTTAACACATAGATACTGGTACAAGAAGGCACCAAATGCATATGTGCCACACAGATCTCATTTGATTTGTGTGAGGGCTGTGATACTGCCCAGGTGCCCAAACCGAACCACGTGGTTTTCTTAGGGGACCACACCCCGAGCCTTTGACCTGAATGTCTGACCCACAAGGCAGTGGAGCATCGTGAGAAGATGCAGTCCCATGGTAGCCGGTGACCAACGATTGGTTCATACGCCATTTGTTCCCGCAGGATACTGGAGCCGGCCCATGTGCACCATTGGTTTGGGATCCGGTTAAAGCCGGTGCCGGACATTCGCTTTTCGTCCTCTCATTTTCGTAAACAACAGTAATGTCACGAGAAGGCAGTGAGTAGGACTTCCCTGGCAGGGGCTGTATACGCGTGGCCATGTGAGAGCATTTCGAGAGGGGGAGCGGACTCCCCCCACTCTCGGCCATACCAGGGCATTTGGGGGCATGTAGATCCTTATTCAAGTCCAGAAATATAAATAAGTTACTTTACTTTGTACTGTGTGTATACCAGATAAGACTATGTTGAACTTTCAAATACTTCAATTTATCATCTACCGAATATTATAAAAGATTGTTCTCAAGGAAGAGATAGTAGGCTGCTTTCCATCAGAATATTAACTGACACAAGTTAGATAAGCATTGAAAACTGCAAATCACTAGATAGCTGTCTCTTTTATAGAAGATTAAAGACTTAAGGGAAGGGTTCAAACTTGGACCTTCAGATTTCATGAATGATACTTAATTTTTAATATTAATTAGCATTAATCAATCACATTAGTCTATACTTTATGTGAAATATATAATGGGTAGTGAATATAGTACATGATAAGAAGGAAAAAACATTTTGTTGTTAATCTTTCCTTATTTTATTACTATTGTAGTGAACAAAAACACGAGTAGGGACAATCGAATGTATTTGAGCACAAAATTACAGAGCACTTCAATAAAATCTGAGAACCATATAGTCAATCAATAATTTGCAAAATATCAATCCATTATCTCAAACTTGACTGTTCTTGTTGCAAATATCAATCCATTATCTCAGATTTCATTGTTCATGCATTTTTATACCAATTGCATACCGTACTTGTTCTTTCCTCATTGACCTTCTATGCCTGACCACCGTTATATATTACTTATGTGGATAATAAGTAACCCACACCACACTATTACTTCATACAATCAGATCTTTTATTCAAGACAAGAGTACGATACAATCGATATTGGTATAATAATGTATAGGATTTCTTATACTCAACTTAATAACATTTTGTAACGATCTGTTTTATTAAAAGTCATTTTATATAGTTCTCTTGCTTCATCTTCAATCAAATGATCCTTAGGGAAATTGTTAGCTTGGAAATCACAGAATATATATAATATTCATCATTATTAATCCATACTTTCATAAAAAATTACATATTTTGAATATTTTATTGTTAGAACGATTGTGTACATATTTGAAAGATTTCAATTGAGAAAATGATGAAGAAGATTTATAACTCAGATCAATGATTTGGATAAAGTTTTGTTCTATGATCTAGATAGTTTAGTTGTGGAGCATTCATCGTTCTCCTGAACGACATCATCAACATAAACTTTAGGTAGAAGTAAAGTATTCGACCAAATCATTTAGCTTAGTGCATAAAACTTCAAAAGTCTTATATTTTAGCTTAAAGAATCTTTGAGCTACATAAAAAATTATACTCTGTAAATATACAGTAAAATGTAAGGAGAAAAATCACCGGTTAGATTCAATATTATGGCATTTTATACATTAAAGGATCATTATAATATTGAATTAATGAACTTAATTTAGAAGTGAAGGGTACAATTTCGAACATGAACAGTAACTAAGTACTTAGTTCATTCTCTAGTTAAGAAGTAAAGATTTTCTAATATTGAGTTGAATTGTATAAATTTAATTTCAACTTTACTATAAACTTATGTTCAATGTGACTTTGAGTCTGATATATTTAGCTTAACTTTATATATTAAGATGTTTGTTATTATTAATCTATGTAAAAGTAGAATAGTAAATAGTAACTATATATCTAGCTAATATCTAATTTAGAGAATAATCTTATTACGTAATCATAACCTGTTAATTCAACTACTTCAGAAGAAAGTTAGTAGATGAGTGATAAAATTAAGTGAAAGTAGAATTTTACCACAGATTAAATAAAGTTGATGACTATGTAGTTCTAACTAAGTGGTTTCCAGTTGTGATGTTATCCAAGAAACCGAAAGTATGTACTTGCATAATTCATATATATATATATATATATATATATATATATATATATATATATATATATATATATAATTTTCACAGTCAAGATCACGACCTGAACTAAGATAGGCACTAACATTTGAACTGAAAATTCTACAATTTTCACAAGTACCCTTTACTCATGATATCCACCATAGAAATTACTATAATATACACAAGACCGCTTCGGATATTAATCAACATATGTTCACTAATGACTGGCTTCAAGAGGTATTTCCTGAAGTTGTAGGGAGAAGCAGTAACCAGTGGAATTCAACCAGGTCTGTTGTGAGATAGTAACTCACTGAAGACAACGATGAATAGGTCGCTTAATTCGGTTGAAGTTAGACATTAACACCATTGAATACCGACCAACTCAATGGTCTAGAGATTAAGTGTTCACGCGCGACACCAATAGGTCCTAAGTTCGGGGTGAGGTCGTGGATACTCACTGTTGAGGATTCCCACAATAGGACGAAACGGTAGTCCAGTGCTTCCAGGTTTTCCATGTTGGTCTAGCTTCAATGGACTCATAATCTTAACCGTTGAAATTAATCAATATAACTCTAAATTGGGTAGTTCGATAAATTATATTTGATTAGAAATATGTTCTAGATGGAAAAATAAAAAAAAAATTTATTTTTACTTCTAATTATATATTTATGCATATTTATTTATACATAAATTATTTCCTTAAGAATTAAAATAACCTTAAATTTCATGAATGGATCCAGCTGTTATCATCATCCTCGTCCTCCTCTTCGTCCTCATCCTCCTCCTCCTCATCATCATCAACAACAACATTATCTTAATAATGAAGCCTACGGTTCAAAAAAAATTGGGAAGAATAAATGCAAAACCAAAGCGATAATAATCATAACTGTTGCAACAGTAACAATAAAATTAAACATTAATCCATACTTACACACAAAAAATATAATCCAATCTATGTAATGTCTATATATCTATAGATAGATAGATAGATAGATTTATCCAAGAAGCCAAATAAACTTATAGAAATAATACACAGAAATAGAAAAAGAGAGAGAGAGATAGGCAGAAATCTTTCCACCTATTTTTCACTGTATTACGTCATAAATTATGAAAAGAACATGTGTCTATATTGCAATATCATATTTACTGAGATAAATAAATAAATAAATAAACAAACAAACAAACAAAAATCTGTATACAAGATGTAAAGATATCGACTGTATGTATATGTATGTGTGGTATATCTCGGTGTGTGTGTGTGTATCTATTTGTATTTGTGCTTTTGTTTAATTGTTTAATGTAAATTCATTGGTTTCAGTAAAAGATCACCATCATTTGTTATCCGGAAAAAAAAGGAGAACAATATATATTGCCATACCCAATCAAATGATCATTATATAATATTGAATAAGAATTAGGATCGCTATTCATAACCTAAATAGATAAATAAATAAATAAACATATAGATATATTGTATCTGTATAGAATGGATAAGTTTTGTCGGTATTTTTCATTTGTAATCACAACCAAAATATTGTTTGTCTGTTTGTTTATCTGTTTGTCTGTTTGTTTATCTGTTTTATCTTTGTTTGTTTGTCTGTTTTTGTTTTGTAAAATGCTTTTTTTTCTTTTAATTTCTCCATAAATTATTTGTAAAATAACTTGTCAATTTATAGTAGAAATAAAAAAAAAGACAATGATTAAAATAAAAATTTTGAAGATATTGTTTTAAAAGTATATCATCTACTTATATAATTTGAAATCAGTAGTATGAATATGAAATATTTAATAATAAACATTCGCACCACCACCACCACCCCCTTAATAAATTAATATCTAAACAAAATGAAAATCAATGGATAGAAAACAATAACAACAACAACAACAGCGTCAGCAACAAAAAAGAAGAAGAAAATGCATTAATTCCGATGATAGGAACTATGATTTTTGTACTGTCCGTTTTTCTGACTGTTTAACACAATGTCATCAATTTATCACTTCATGATTATAAAAAAACATTAAAATTAGATTACATAATAATAGATGATATCAAATTACAAAATAAACTGCTAAATATACTAAGGTGTTGAAATAACAAGAAGAAGGAGAAGACGACGACAACGAAGAACGATAAAACAGAAGAGCAACAAAAAGGAATTCAAAGCTAGATGAATATAAAATAAAATAGAAAAAGCATTCTCCAGTTAACAATATGTAATTGTTTAAGAAATACAAAAAAGAAAGATTCAATCAAGGCGCTCAATTATCAATCATATAACAGTCATATGTAAAAAGTAAAAGAAAACATATACAATTCAAACAATTTGTCCCTTTTAAAAATAAAAACTATTATTGTCTTACTTATAACATTATTGAAATTAGATTCCATTTATTGTGAATAGTAAATGTTTCTCTATAAGAATAGTAAGTTAATTTAAAGGCAATAATGTTTATCAACGTTTAAAACTCCTTCAATCTTCAACCTCTCTTTCACACACACACACACACAAACAAACAAACAAATCAAATCACATAGCATTTCTTATCTTATTATGTCTAATTAATGAATTAAAAATCTTATATATTATTATAAATATAAAATTCTATGTAATCCCCTATTATAATGTATAAGATAGAAATGTAAATAGTATTAATCATCAAAATAAGTAGTACAGTGTATATCATTTCAATAGTTCAATGATATCATTCATATAAATAATAAGAATTACGTCATAGGATTACAATTTTCTTTTTTTTCTTCTATTATTGTTATTACTTTCTATTGAATAAAATGTTAAACAAATAAGTGACACTTTTTTTTAAAGAAAAAAAAAACAATTATTTTTCCTCATATTTTAAATGGGTTTTTTTTTAATTTTCTCTAGCAAAAAAAGAAAAAAATTAAAAAAATCAATTAAATATTTGATGTTCAAATATTTTTTTCTTCTTTATTGTTGTTCACGTTGTTGTTGTTGTTGTTGTTGTTGCTGTTGTTAGGTTAATATTGATTTGTTTTATTTAATTATTTTTATCTATTTTTTCTTTCAAATATTTGATCATAAATAAATTATATAAAATAAATAGAAAATAAGAAAAGAGAAAATTTTTTTGAAGAAAAAAAGAAAAAAAGAAGAAAAAAAAAGAAGAAGAAGAATAAAAACTTGTAATTGATATAGTTGTAATGAATCCCTATGAATAAATAATTGTATATATATATATATATCAATGTATTTACAAATGATTAATTATTATAATGAAATATTATAGTTAATTAAAATTACATATTACATAATGAAATCAATTCAATATAATTGAATGAATAGAATGGAATATATTGAATGAAATAAAAGTTATACCTAATATAATCATTATCTCAATATTATAATGTTTTAAATAGAGTTAAATCATAATGAATATAATTGAATTATCACAAATAATTGTACTTCTTCTTATTATTGATAGATGGATAGAATGGTAATAGTTATGCATTAGATTCTTTCATTTCAGCAAAATAAGCAACTAAACGATCATGTGATAAACATAATAATTCTTGTTCCCAACTTAAATCTGATTGTGAATTCATTAATTGATATTTATTAATATTTTTAGGATAAGATTTTATGGAATGATATTGTTGTTGTAATGGTATTATTGCTGTTGATGATGTTGAAGATGATGATGAAGATGATGATGATGATGATAATGGTTTTTCATGATCATTGATTACAACGGTATTTGGTTTTAAATCATTATGTTCTATAGATTCACCTAAATAAAACATAAAAAAACATTAATGTTATAAATTAAATGATGTATAGACGTGAATGATAATGAATGATTGTCTGCTTAGTCAAAGATGTAGATAATCTGACAGGTGTCACATAAGTTATATATTTCCCTATCCTTACTATTACTTGTTATTAATTGTTCATTGTTGCTGGATTGTATCGGGTTTTTGGTGTAGAAATACATTTACATTCTAGTTAGGCTAATCACGTGCTCATGATCTTTGTTGTATTGAAGTCCTGTAGAATGGACACTGGGATGAAATCTAGTGTAGATATTCATCTAAAGTAAACTGACGTCCCATACGTGTAAACATGTAAATCCACTCGTTATAACATTAAACGAAGTTAAACCGAGCGTTATAACAGGAAACTAAACGGGTTTTATATAAACTCTTGTCTAAAATTGAATGAATATTCTTATAATTGATTAAAGTCAGAAAATGTGAACCATCAGTTGAGTAAAGTGATTCAGTGTTAATCACTGAAGAAGTGACTTACACTGAGTCACGAAACATCAAAAAATCTAATTTCTCTGTTGATCAGGATATCTAAAAATATATTAATTTATTTATAACAATCTATTCAACGCTCAATTTATTCGAAATTATTAAGTCAAACCTTGGTAATGATACCTACGTCGGGTAAAGGTTAAACATTTACGTGTAAAAGTGAAAATCCAAGAATAATCTGTGGTGATAAATTCATAGATGTGAGACGTTAGAAAGTTCGATAATAGAACAAAACACTTGTTCAATACTTCTTGATTATAAGTGGTTTATGATATAAACATTGAAGTTTGACAATAGTTCTTTGCATAGTGTATTAGAGATATTAAAAAAACAAACAAACAATTAATCAATCATCTTTGTACAAATGATAGTAAATGAGGTATTGAAGTAATGCCAAGATTTGGGCGATACTGTAATGAGAATACAAAAAATAAATAAATAAATATTAGTTTGTGTTGTTTTACCAAATAGATTGATTGTTCAAGGTATCATCGAACATGACAATCAGATAAAACAAATGAATGTGCTTTGTTATTGTATGTAAAATATAAGATAAACAGAAGAAATTTGATTTATTTTTATGCTTATCTAATAATAAAACATTTGAGTTATTTGTTTATTATTATTATTTTATTTTAACACATAAATATAGGTACAGGGAGGCACCGAATACATATGCGCCACACAAATCTCAATTGATTTGTGTGAGGGCTGTGATACTGCTCGGGTGCCCAAACCGAAGCAGGTGGTTTTCTTAGGGCGCCACATCTCGAGCCTTTGACCTGAACGTCTGACCCACAAGGCAGTAGAGCATCGTGAGGAGATGCAGTCCCATGGTAGCCGGTGACCAACGATTGGTTCATACGTCATTTGTTCCTTCAGGATACTGGAGCCCATGTGCACCATTGGTTTGGGGTCCGGTTAAAGCGCCAGACATTCGCTTTTCGTCCTCTCATTTTTGTAAACAACACCCCCGCCACGAGAAGGCAGTGAGTAGGACTTCCTTGGCAGAGGCTATATACGCATGGCCATGTGAGAGCAGTTCGAGAGGGAGAGCGGACTCTCCTCACTCTCGGCCTTACCAGGGCATTTGGGGGCTGAGTTATTTGTAATTGTAGTCAATAAAAGTGTTGTGAATCTAATTAGCTTGTCTAAAAATGAAATATCTATGATCCCTACATAGATTAGATGGTGGTTGGAGATGGTCGACAGGAAACCCTGGACATAGGTTTCGTGCTACTTGGCACTCGTCAGCAAGGTGTACCTGTAATCTTAAGGGAACGGGTGCTCCCTAACGGGTTTGATTCCGTGTCACCCAGCTTCATAGTCAGAGACGTTACTACTGGGTTATCCAGGATGCGGCCGACCTCCTGTAAGACTGAGACATGTTTACAATTGATTGATCACTGGGTGGCGGTCAATGTCATGTGTGTCAAGTCCTTCTTATCGCAAATTAAATCCTATCGACCAAGTTGCAATGTAACTATCAGTCTAGGATCTGACATACATGAAATCGACCACCACCTAGTGATCAATCAATTGTGATGATCACTGTATAGTTCATTCCTAAATAACTTGAGTCATTTATCGAATATAGATGTATACACGCTGATACTTGAATTCTATTATTTATTACAAGAGATTATGACATTACCGTTCAATTGTCTAAATTAAAGTAGGTACAATGAAGTACTAAATGCACTGATTACATAACAAGTATTTGTTGGTCAGTAATACGTAAAATTTATAATAAAGATTTTTTTTCTAAATAAGTTTTGATATTATTGTAATTATAATTACTTATAAAGTATATTATCTTTATTAAACCTACATTGTGTAAAATTGAACTATTGTATGGAGATGAAACATGGAGAACTATTACAACTGTCATCAAAACGATACTAGTATATATAAACAATTGTCTACACAACATACTCAATGTCTGTTAGTTGGACATCATCAGCAACAGCCTACTATACGAGAGAACAAATTAATTTTCAACTAAAAAAAAATTAGGAAAAGACGATGGAAGTATATAGTACATACATTACGGAAATAACCAAAATGTATCACTAGGCAAACTCTAACTTGGAATTCTGAAGGAAAACAGAAAAGGGGGAAACAAAAATAACATATTGCATCAGCAATTTCAAGCAGATATGAAAATGATGAATAACAACTGAAAAGAACTGGAAAGGATTGTCTAGGACACAGTTTTATGGAGAATGTTGGTCAGTGACATATGCTCTTCCTGAAGGTGTAAGTAAGTAATGTATAATTCAGTAGTATTATTTATACATTGTACCCTTAGATCATTCAAGTTAATCTGTTCATTTTTTATATTTCGTATAATTTTATCATTATTTTCTTTGAATAGAAACTTACTATTCTTTCTTAGTTTGATTAAACCATAATAATGAAACTTTATCTATGTAAATATATTGTGGGTAACTGATTACATATTGATGACATAACAGATACTTTTCAAAGGTACTAATGGTGTTTAGAATTACATATTTATCCCCATAGTTTCAAACCATTTCTTACATTATTATGTAACATATTCATTAGAAAATTGATAGATAATTATAGATTCAACTATTATATACCATATCAGTCAGTCAGCTACATCGTAGGACCAGGCACATATATGCATCGGTCCAAGTTGCCATGCCGCATTAGCACAGTAAGATGAACACCGGATTATATACCATATATACAGGTATGCAACATAAATGTTACATTTACTACCAATATCATAGCTTGGAAAATAATTTTAGATAAAAAATTGTATCAAGAAATTTATTTACACTCATCATAGTAACATAAAGAAACACAAAACTAATCATATACTATTGGAAGTTTGAGCAGAAAAAAGAATAAATTATGTATTAATTGCAAATATATAATTACTGATTGATGTATCCCTCAATTTCATGGATTAGTTAAAATCAGATATTAACACCATTAGATGCCGATCAGCTCAGTGGTCTAGTAGTTAAGCGCTCGCGCGGAAGACTGATAGATCCTGGGTTCGAATCTAGTGAGGCGGTATCATGAATGAGTACTGCTGAGGAGTCTCACAATAAGACGAAACGGCCATCCAGTGATTCCATATTTTCCATAATAGTCTAGTTTCAATTGATTCGTGATCTCAACTATTAAAGTTATTACAGTCTTCGCAAAACCCCTTCTAATATTAATGACTGAATAGCTAAGAAGACTCAATAGTCATTCAACCCAAATATAATACACCTTAAGAATGTACCTCAGGTTAAGTAAGAAAACTCAATAACTTAAAAGTAACAAGATTAACAAAAAGACAAATAGCTTTATTAATGATATACCTATGGTATAATAATAACTATGTTGAATCAATAACTTTTTTTAAAGGATTTTTTAATCATCAATAATTTCTCAACTTCAATTTATCCGTGATAAAGTGATCTTCAAATAAAATTAAAAATAGAGAGGTAAATAAACTTGAAAAATGAAAAAAATATCTAGTTAAATTGTGTAAAATCAAAAGAGGGTTTTTGTGGATACTAATAGTTGCAATCATGAGTCAGTTGAAGCCAGACTACAATGAAAAACTTGGAAGCACTAGAGATCTGTTTCATCCTAGTATGGGACTCCTCAGCATTGAGCATCCACGATCCCACCTCGAGAGATTTAAACTCATGACCTATCAGTCTCGTGCACGAACGCTTAACCTCTAGACCACTGAGCTGGCCGGCATCCAACGATGTTAATGTCTAACTTCAAATAATACACGAAATTGAATGACACATCCACCATTATTATCTCACAACAGACCCAGTTGAACACCATTGGTTACTGCTTCTCACTAAAACTTCAAGAAATACCGCTTGAAGCCAGTCATTAGTGAACATATGTTGATTAATATCCGAAGCGGTTTTGTGGATATTATAGTGATTTTAACAGTTAAGATCACGAGTCAATTGAAGCTATACTACCATGGAAAACCTGGAATCATTTGACATCCTTTTCATCTTATTGTTGGACTCCTCAGCAGTACTTATCCATAATCTTATATTAGAACGAAACAATCGTCCAGTGTTTCCAAATTTTCCATAGTGATCTAACTTCAATTATTTCATGAATTCAACTATTAAAATCAAAATATTTTTCCAAAAAAAAAAACAATAAAAAAAATCCACTTATAACAACTACAATCATACCTCATCATGTGACTAAGAGAATACTTCCCTTTTATCAAAATAATATAAAAAGTTGTTTTTCTCCCTTGGAATGAACCAGAAAACTAAATAATTATCCTCATTTATAAAAGTATTTAATTTTAAAGTTTAGTAAGACAAAAAATAAACAACCTATCTACACTACTAATCATAATAGATTTTATTTTCTTTGAAGAAAATAACTTATCGCTAAATTTCGTGGATTATTTGAAGTTAGACATTACCATCGTTGGTTGCCAGCTGACGCAGTGGTCTAGGGGTTAAGCGCTTGCACTCAAAACTGATAGATTCTAGGTTCAAATCTCACGAAACGGGATCATGAATGAGCACTGCTGAGGAGTCTCACAATGGGACGAAACAGTCACTCAATGTTTCCAGGTTCTCCATGGTAGTCCAGCTTCAGTTGATTCATGATCTCAACTATTGAAATTACTACAATCTCCATAAAAACCCTTCTGATATATATAATTAAAGGTAGTTGTAACTATAATGAATTACTTTCAAAAAATGTTTTTTTCTTTAATTATGTCCTTCCTAATATTATTTTTTGTTCATATAATATAGTAAACTGTTAAGAAAAATGATACTTTATAGAGAAGAAAATTAAAAAGAAAAAAAACACAAGATCTGTAGGCTAATACTAATCCTTTTTAATTGTTGTTGTTGTTGTTATGTAGGTATTAAGAGATAAACGGAAAAAAAGGAATAAAAGGTATCTAGTGAAAGGTGGACACTTGTTTGTTTGTTTTTGGTTTTTTTCTTCAGCTAATTACAACTTGTATATTTATCTATCTTTTTTGTATTGTTTTAGAAGTAGGCTAATTAACAGTGTTTATCTGTAAAGTTATAATAATAGACCTTTTTTCTTCTTCATTAGTTTACTTTTCATTAGAACACTTTTACACAAAACGTTTTAATTAATGGAATGGTATACTAAACACATTCAATATCATAAAGAATTCCAATGATGAATTGAATTGCAAAATCGTGCATGGAGGACAGTTGACAAAAACTCGTTTAAAGTAAAGACTGATGTCAAGCAAGGTTGCATAATCTCACCCTTTCTCTTTCTCCTGGTCATTGACTGGATTATGAAGACGTCAACATCTAAAGGGAAGCACGATATACAGTGGACATCTAGGATGCAGTTGGATGATCTACACTTTGCAGATGATCTGGATCTTCTATCACAAACGCAACAACAAATGTAGGAGAAGACGATCAGTGCAGCAGCAGTCTCAGCAACAGTAGGTGTCAACATACACAAAGGGAAAAGCAACATTCTCCGATATAACACAGCATGCATCAATCCAATCACAAATGACGGAGGAAGGTTCATGACAGCGCGTGTTGGAGAATGCTGGTCGTTGGTCTATGCTCCATTGGGTGTAACAGGTGTAAGTAAGTAATACTAAACAAATACTATTCAGTATCGTTAATTATGCATGTATTCTAAAACGTGATAAAGTGAATATTTAGTATGTATATTAATGTTCAAGTCTAAAATTCGCCTATGTTTGGGTTCATTCTTAATGAGGCCTAGTTAATAGAAGTTGGTATTTTAAACACTGTTAGTCAAACTTATTGCAGTTTGTATGGCTAAAAACGATGTACTTCAATGAATAAAGTTGAAGTGGATCTTCAGAATAAGATAGAAAATGTTTAAGAAACAACAAGGCATAAAATATGATACAAAGTACGGTAATAGAGATACTACCCCTAACTCAGGGTCTGAAAAGTCGCAAAAATGAAAATTTCGCAAATGCGATAAAAATGATCTTGATGGTCTAGTTATAATATTCCAACACCAGACAATTGGTTTTAAGCGTTATTTAAGCCCTAACGTTTCGGGCTGGGTTATTTCACTAACTACCCTACATATGTGTTGTATTCAGTATAAGCTATATGTCTATGTAGAGCTGAAGGTTTCATATGAGGCTGGAGGTTAGCCATTGGTATTGTGGATGGTTCGGCATTGCTTTGGTAAGTTTTGCTGACTGTTCATGCACAAAATTGGTTTGCTGGTTAACCGATTTCATTCATACTGGTGGCTGCTTTTTAGTGTTCTCGAGAGTCATTGTCATTGGGACATTGTAAGATATGTTGCCATTGCTAACACTAATGAGTTTGAATGTCATGTAAGCGGAATAAGTCAACTTTGACCTGTTCGTGCTGTGCATAATTGATTCACGCGATCATTGATCGGAATAACTAGACATGTGATGTGAATGTGTATATGAATGGTGAGAATGGTCCACCAGGTTGCTTGGTACCTGTGTGGTTGCGCCACAGGATTGAGCTGTACTATTCAGATTATATCGTTAAAGTCTATACGGTGTCTGTTTCTCCTGAAAATCAATGTAAAATTATCCTGACCCACAAGGGTATATTATATAACTATGGTAATAGTCAAGACTGATGTGGAACATCATGTTGAAAATCTAATCTATTCATATTTGATCAAAATGATTGAAATGGACCGATAAATTAATTTTATTGTGAAAACTTTCTTATTCTTATTATATACTAGTTAACAAAGGAACTAAATATATCAAATATACGTCATAAGTTCAATGCTTACTGGTATTGGTAAACATTGTTACATAATATATTGTTATATTTTACTCATTTTAATATAGATAGAAAGAATGTATGACGACTCATCTTGTACTATGCTATTTTAATAGAACCTTTACTTAAAAGAATTTTTCTTATATATTCACTACACAAAAGATATAGTGAATAATTTTGAAAGACTTAATACTAACAATGTAAGTGATATGATATGTTATTATTGGATCAAAGTAGTTAGTTTATAAGAAAATCTGTCCTTTGATTTTATATTAGCTAAAACTAATCAACAAATTGTATTTATAATGTTGATGAAGCTGTTACATTCTGATGAATAGAAAATTGAATCATTTAATTTTACACTATAATATACTATTATAAAGCTATTCAGATAACAACTAACCTTATATATATAAATGAGATATTTACATTGTTTAATCACTGAATAATGTTGAATGTAATTAACAATAATACAAATGATTATTAAGATTTATTGTTTCTGTATGAAATTTATTAAGGTTTATCCTTAAGGTTTATAAAAAAAAAAAAAAAAATGAATTTTATATCATTCAATCAGTGGAATAAACTTATCTGAACTCATTTCAAAATGATTTAAGTTACTATTCAATTCATTAAAGCTTTAATAATGAGATTAATTTATATGCTAAAGAGTTTACTATTTTAAATATTAGGTAAAATATCAATAACAACAACAACAACAAAAGACGATTAAAGTTAAACTCATTTCTATTATCCTTGTTTATTGAATGATTAAATGATTGTTTACAAGATATACTAAATTGATCTGATTATTAATTATTGATTAAGAGTTAAGCGCTCGCTTGCCAGATTGAAGGCTCTGGGTTTGAATCCCGAGAGCGAAATCATGGATGCGCATTACTGAACAGTCTCATAATAGGATGAAATGGCCATTCAATGCTTCTAGGTTTTCAACGGTAGTCTAACATCAATCGGCTCATGATGTTAATCAAAAAAAATTATTGATTAGTTAAATGCGTTCGTTAATGATAAGTGTTATACACTATCACAAATTGAATTAAACTGACAATATTGACCAATGAAATAAAATAATTACTATTATTATCATCAGAAAAATTCAGTATTCTAGAGGCAATGATATGATCTGAAGAAGAAAAGCTTCTTGGTTCAAAATCTAATATCTTATGTATGGTTTGAAGAGGGAGTTAATAGGAAATCCTAGATCTAATTTTCAAGTTCTCTGACAATCAGCATCAGAGTATACCTGTAATCTTGAAGGAGATGAGCTTATCTGAAAAAAAACTTGAGCTCTTACCAACCGGCCTCATAATTACTAATCTGTTATTCTTGCTGGGATTGACTTGGTATTGATCAATTGTATTGATCAATTATATTCGACCAGTAACAAATAAAAAATGAACATGACATCGAGCATCACTTATTGATCAACAGATGTTGATCCTTGGTTTTTAGTAGTCAATTGGCTTGTTTAAAATTTCCTAGACATATACATAGTAGGTGTTCATTTCTTTATAATTTTTACTGGCTTACCAACATTAATTTTCATTTGGACATTAAAATTTTTTATTAACTTATACTATACACAAAACTAAATAGTGGTTATGCTTACAAAATTATCAGAACTTACATAGATTTTGTTGTGAATCAATTCGTTTATCTGAATACAGTACAGAATTTGTTAATTCATTATCATTTAATTCAGTAGTATCACATTTCGTGATCATGGGAATCGACAAATCTCTTGATTGTTCTGATATATTACTTATATAATTATCTAATTGTTGATGATGTTTTGAAATTGATTGATCACAATGACTTTGATGATTATGATGGTGTTGGAAATGATGATGGTGATGATGATAATGATGATGATGATGGTTAGATTTATTATCTTCAACATGATTTTTAGATTGATGTTTACGTTTACGTCGTCGTTTTTGATGTACCGGATGATACCACCATAAACTTTCTTCACTTGGACTTTGTTGTTTATTTAAATATTTTGATAAAATATCATATGATGAAGAGAAAAGACAATCTTGACAAATTTCTGATGTGTTATTATTATTATTATTAATAGTATCAATGTTATTTTGTTTAGTTTTATGTTTTTTATGAACATTTTCAGTTAAAAGTTTTACACATTCTTTAGAAGAATCAGTTTGACATAATGCTGAATACAATTCATTTGTTACATGGAAACTCTGAAATGTAAAAATAAATAACAATGACTAAAGGAAAATTAGGTAAAGTATTCGTGAATTAGTCTTATGAAGATTACTGTAATTTGAAGGTGTTATTCGCGGTAGATGACCATCATTTAAGGTACTATGGAAATCTATAATGTTATGTACAAGTGTTTCGTAGCAGCAACAGAACTAAGTCCAGACCGTTGTTACTACCTTGACGTGGTGGCCGAGCTTGCCTATTGTGATAAAGCGACTCAGATATACTGGATGGAACAACCGTTCCTCAAGGTCCTACCATGTCAGACAGGTCGGTTGAAGAGCGGTAAGACTAACAGCAATAAATCCAAGGTCCGAAGGCGAAGTCGTACTGCTGACTGTACAGAGGTGTGACAACAGTAAGGTGTTTCCTTTAGACAACCACCCACAAGGAGGGGTGGGATTAGAAAAGGTCTACCCTAAAAATGCAGACATCGCCTTATCCTACGAATATCCGTCTCCGGCGGTAAAGTCTCAATAAGTACGGTGCTAACACAAAAATTATTCATAAAATGGTCGTGTGTGACCGACCTCAAGCAGTCGTCCCTTGGGCACTGCAGTCACACTTTCAGGTCACTAAAAGCACCTCTAATCCAATTTCCTTTTCAGGCACCTCCAGAAGAACCCTTCCACGGTGTGGGTAACTGGGAAGTGATAACCTACATCATACTTCTACCAGCACTCAAGACCAGTGAATTCATAATCAACCTCCCTCTTCAATTCCTATTATTCCTGACTGACTGACAGTGCTAAGACTTAAATTTTATGAGATGAACGCCTATCTCTTAAGCTATTTTGTTGGTACACAATGCCATACATTTCTAGGTTTTATTAATTTATGATTTTGGGCGACGATTCTCTAGTAAAATTATTATAACAAGGTAAGAAGGCGAAGATCCGTCATGAAATTAGCCTACTAAAAGACGCAACGGACCCATAGCATTTAAAATATTTCCCAAGTGGGAAATACGAGATGAAGGTGACAAGAGCGCTTTTGGCACGAAAACAAAGAAACTCAAACTTTTTAAATAAAATTACAAAATTAGGTTGTTTTCCAAGTGAGTTCTCAGAATCTAACGTCCCCAACAAAAGGTAACTTATGATGATTCAAAATAAGTTTATCTCTCATTCATATTAATTCGTAAACGTTTACAATCAGTCTTGGTATAATCTTGACATGTTTAAACAATATCAAATATATTTGAACCATAAATTCGTCTTTCGTTTCTTTGAAGGATATAAGAATAAAAAAAAATATACAAATCATTATTTTAGTATTTCTCAAGTTTTTCAATCATTAGATCTTCTGAACTGTTCTCTGAAAGCGCCTAAGTACACATGATAGACGGAACTAATTAATTAGTTACAATAAATTTAAAACAAATAAATCTATGACGATAGATGCAGGTTTGAAAAAAAGAATAGAATTCTAAAGTTTCAGTAGACTTTCATACTTACAATGCATGAGAATATTTAATGACTTTGAGATAGTGGAGATTTGTAGCTCAGATGGATGATTTTGATGGAGTTTTGTTCTCTGAGCTAGATAGTTTTGGTTGTGATCAAACAATATATAGTAATTTTCAACTTTCGAAACCTTCATAGAACTCTCTTAGTATAAATATTGAATGAGTTTTGTTTTTACACTATCGGATATTATTTCATTCATAGATATGAAGTCTAAAGCTTAACCAGTCATTACAAAATATTTAGAGAATATACAGTTATGTAATATTATTTGATTACAATTCTTTATTAGTTTGGTATAAACATAAATTGATTTTTATTATAATATAAACTTACTTGAGGCAAACTAAGTGGACGTGGATATTGATTATTTGTATTATTATTATTATGTCTTGTTAAATGACCAAGTGTATGATAAGTAATAGCTCCACGACTTGTAGTTCTTATTGGAGGATTTGGTGGACTTTGACTAAATGAACTAGTTTCATTTAATTCTAACATTTCATTAAGTTGTAAATGATCTTCATTTATATTATTATGATCTATTAATGGACTGTGTAATTCACATTGTTGATTATTTGAACAACAATCAGATTGATTACGTTTTAATGATTTCTCTAATGTTTTTCTTATTTGCCATGGAGAATTCAATGGACATATAGGTGAAGAAACATTTAACATTTCTATTGTTGTACAATCTTGTCTATCTATTGTAGATTGATTATTACTATTATTATGCTCTAATAAATCTTTATGATGTATATCATCTGTATTTAATAAAGGTTGTCTACGATAACCTGAAATCATCCAATCTTGATTAACATTATGCTGATAATGTTGATGTTGGGAAGAGGTAGTCATATTTGATTTATCATTACAAACTTGTGATAGACACATAGATAAAGGTGATAACATTTGACAAACAGATTGATGTTGATTAGTTGGTGATGAGATCACAGGAGAATTTTTTATATTTGTAATGTTTTTCGATTTATTCATAGTTGATAATGTAATATCATTGTGATTCAACAGATCATCATGTAAATAAACTGATGATATTTGTTTACGATGTAATGACGCACTAGCGCTTCCACTTAACATCATCAATGGATTTGAGTTGTTTAACCAGGATTCACTAACTATTACAGAGTTTGTTAATGTATTATTATTATTATTATTACTTTGTTGATTGATATATTTCATATTTTCTGGAGAATAATCTGATAGGAAAAGTTGCGGATTAAGGAATTGTTGAGTTAGTTCTTGTTGAACATGATAATGTTGCTTCTTATTTGACATTGGATTACTAATTATTCTGATACTACATTCTTGACCCTAATATAATGTAATTATGTATATATGAATAAAAATTAGATAAATAAATTTTATAAAGATCACGAATGTATCTAAGTTAGGAAACCACTGAAAATTTAGAAGCATTGAATGATCATTTTATTCTAGTATAGGGGCTACTCACCAGTATAAATTCACATTCCCGTAACTAGGACTTGAGCCCAGAATTTTTTGTCTGTTATGTGGACGTTTAAACTCTCAATCATTGAGCCTATTTTTAATCGTTTAGAAGTTTAACTTTAACCACTTTATGATATTATGCGACTATTTATGATTATCTTCAATAGGTGTCTTCCTACTAGTAAAAAATAACCATCCAATGCTTTCAGGTTTTTAGTAATTGTTTAACTTAGATTGGTTCTTGATCGACAACCTTATATTGACAGACAAAAAATGTTTCTTTTTACCAGCAATCATTCAACTTGATCATTCTTGTTAAACTTATTTAAAAATAGGTTGTTCATTATCTGTCAATATGTAAAACTGAACAATGGTTGAACAATTTACTATTCAGTTAATTAACGTATAACAAAGAGTTGAAGTCACTTTGGAAACGACAACATAAACATTAATGAAACCCGGATAAAATTAACTTAGGATTCCAAACTTTACTGTCAGCTAATATCAAATTATATCAATCAGTCAGTCAGTCAACAACGTAGAACTTCGTTCGTACATACATCAGTTTGAGTTGCCATACCACATTAGCACAAAGATACAAATGTCGATTCAAATTCCACAGTGGTAGAGGTGTTTGGAGTATAAGCAGTAGTCGGAAACATTAGGGTTTGAAGATGTTATTCATGGAGTATAATCTAGCGAAATAAATTTGGGAAGAGAAAAAGAAAAGGGATGTGGAGAATTCAGAAAATTAGAATTTGGGAGAACACAAAGAGTGGATGCACCTGCTCCATTGCAAACGATTGTCAGCCATGTCATTCAAGGTCTATAACCATCAGTTGCTATCATCTCGCGGATCCCAACCAGGTACTCTACACCTACCAACATGGCTCACTCAGTCCACTTGTCAGTGACTTCATGGATTTGTGCCATGTTTTGGTCTGGCCGTCCCTAGCTTTCTTCCAACCTACTCCTACACCATAAAACATCGCACGTCGTGGCAGTCGGTGGTTGGGCATACGTAACACATGTCCCAGCCATCTCAACTGATGAAGTTTCACTTCTTCATCAATTGATTTGCCATCCTTACCTATTACCCGTTTCCTAACACCTGCATCACTTACTCGGTGGTTCGAGGATATACGAGCAATGCTTCGAAGACATCTATGATCAAATACTAGTAACCTACGAATATCCCCTACTCTTATCGGCCATGTTTCACTGTCATAAAGTAAGTCGGGGAAAATTATGCGCAGTAAGCCAGTCCTTTTGCTGATAGATGGGTATCTCGCCTACACCATAAATGACGCAAGTTGGCAAAGGCTAGTCGAGCCTTCTGTATCCGTGATGAGATTTCGTCACATACCAGACCACATGGGGTTGTGAGACTCCCAAGATAAGTGAAGTGGTCGACACGCTCAACTACTTCACTCCCTATCATTAGTTCAGGTGCCGATACAACTCAATCCTAAAGCAACATTTCGCATTTCGAGAAGGAGAATTGTATCAAATTTTATGGCATTCAATATTTGACTTTATAAGGTTAACTATGAGAGAATACTAGTATACATATACATATCCTATGACAATCAAATCGCAGAAAAAAAAAGAATTCTGGTAAGATCTGAAATAAGCCTTTAGACTACCAGTATAACTTTCTGTTGGCTTGTACCAAACAAATTTTACATTCGATTTTTTTCAAATAGAGATATTCTTAGGTTCTCTACAAACAGAACATCAAATAAACGGTATCTTGATATTAATTAAAGTTAACTTTGACTATACTTCATTACTATTCAATAGATAACAATAAAATCGCTGCATTACGTAGGGATTAGCATGAAAATGATAGAAAAAATTAGTAATAATCATCACCAAAAACTCATGATACCTGATAATTGCGCTGCGTAAATGCTGTTGTATGACGTTTCAAGTGACGACCAAGTGTTTGACACTCATTTTTAGGTGTATTACTGTCAGGTATAGACAATTGGTTATATAAAAATGAATTAGGTTGTATTTCTTCTGTATATCCAAATTGTTGTGTAAGATTATCATTTGTTACATATAAGAAACGTGAATCTGATTCTATAGTGTCTGAACGTAAAGTATCTTGCCATACACTTTCACGATATGGTGACTGTAATAATAACAAATCAGCTTCACCAACCGATAATACAGCAGTTGTAGAATTTTTCTTCATCCCATTAAATTGCACCGGACGTTTATTTGAACGAGATAAACTGGCATCTATTTTTGGTACACCAATATTACTACCATTATTAATAATATTATTAGTAGTGGAAGTTGGCGCTGTTATGCTAAAATTGGTTAATTCCGAATTATAACCAAGTGGCTGACTATGGTGATGGCGATGAGGATTTGAGTTTTCATCTAGTTTATCAGTTTCATTTTGTTCACTAATAACATGTTGACGACCGACCCATACCCAACTTGAATCGCGATGTAACAATGGCTGTAAATAATCAAAATAGTAGATATGGATTATGGAAAAATCTAAGACATTTAAGCAAAGGAAATTTTCTCATTACACGATTGAATTTATTGACAATATTCAATTGTATTTAGTATACATATACACTATAAACAGAGAGGTAGATATCTAACTCATGATTGACAACCAAATAATATTGGACAGCTATGTTAGGTGGTTGAAGGTAGCTGACATGGAAACGTGGACCTCGGTTATGTGCTGTTTGGCACTGATCAATGAAATATACCTGTAATGTTGAGGAACTCGTGTTAAGCAGTTTCACAGTCTGAGATGTTACCACTGAGCTATTCAGTCGAGGCTCTAAAAGCCTAGAGGTAGCATCTCAGTCTGTGAGTTCATGTACCTCGGGCTGGAATCCACCAGGAAACATCGGTTTCCTCAAAATTACTTGTACACTTTGCTGTTAGATACAAATAAGAACCAAGCTAAGGTCCAGGCCTACATTTGACTACCTTCAACCACCTAGCATCTCAACACAGTGAATACAACGTCAAGTTACGTAAGTCAATGATCACATTGAAAACTGATCGATGGAATTCGATTAACACTTAAAAGGATTAGATAAAAATGACGTTGGTAGTTATTCAGTGACCAATCAATTGTTACTGTTGGATATTGATTTCAGCTTAGTATGATATTCTTAAACATACACACTTATCACATCACTTGACATTTATTTGAACATCTTCAGAATTTATGGCATGAATGTTACTTTTAGACAGCTTCTAAATCTCTTGAGATCAATTGACATTGTGAATGTTCAATTACCGTACAACCGATATGAATGAATTGCCTCAATGAAACTACTGAAAATGATTATACTAAGATGATCAGCATGAGGATTTGTAGAAATTAAAGTATTTTCACGGTTGAATTCACGAGTCGACCTAAGCTAGACCACCACCGAAAACCTGAAAGCATTTGAAGGCCGTCCAGATTTTCAATAGTTTAACTGTAAATCGAATCATGATTTAAATAAAATTCAACAATATCTACAAATCCCAATTACGATAATAATCATATGGCCACTAGTGACTAGCTTCAAGATGGATGTTTCGGAGTTTTAGCGAGAACCCGTGACCAGTTGGGTCCAATTCACCTCGACTGAGAGACAGTTATCCACCTCAGACAATGGGTGAAGGGTTGCGCAATATCGTGGATCGATTGAAGTTAGACATTAACATCGTTGTATGCCAGCATAATGGTCTAGTGGTCAAGTGTTTGCGCGCGAGATCTAAAATCCTGGGATAGAGTTGGGTGTACGGGATCATGGATGTGAATTTCTGAAGAGTTCCATACTAAGACGGAACGGCCGTCCAGCGCTTCGAGATTCGCAAATGTGATTTAGCTTATATCGACTGGTGAATCCGAATGTGAATATACCATGATGAAACAATTATTCAATGCTTTTTGATTTTCGATAACGAAAATCCAATTCGATCCAAATATAAATTCATTTGTCATAGATACATCAATATAGTTTGGAAGCATTTCTAAGCTTCTAAATATTTCTCAAAGTATTATCAATGAAATTGTTGCAATCTTGTAGTTAAATTACACTTAGACACAATATAGTTCACATTGCTACTATGTGAGATCAAGTCATGTTCAGTGCTCATTCGCCTAATCAGTAATAACGTACAGGTCTGATAACGAGAGAAGGTTATTATAAGATAGTATTCAGTGGTCTATATTTGGAACTATAGTCAGCTTGAATTTGATAATATTGGTAAAACACACCAAATTAAAAGCAAGCCTATCATACCAATCATTTCGTAACTGAACCTCACAATATCTAATTGGAAAACATCATCAGCCACTGATAAAAAAGTAATTGATAACGATTAAAATATGAGGTCAAAACTTTTCAACTCTGATTATAGCTCACCTTGTGTTTTTGACGACTGCCAAACACTGATGTAGCAGATCGTTTAGTGCGTTTCCGTTCTTTATTATTGTTATGGTTATTAATATTAGTGGGCAATAGTTTGTCATGATTATCAGCATCACTTTTTGGATGATATTTCCAACTATACTTTGACGAAGTAGAAATAGCCGACATTAATTGATTATGATCTGTCACCTCATTATTATTGGATACTGGGTCAGTAAGTGTTAAAGATTGAGAGTGATTGTTATCATCATTTAGTGATTTATTACATTTTCCTCGAATACAACCACTAGCAATACTATAGCTACCATTATGAGTAGCATTGTCGATACCGTCAGTATTATCCATATTCATCTTCTCCCAACGATAACGTACAACAACAACTCCACAATTGACAGCAAATACAAGTCCAACTACAGCAAATAGACCAAGTAAAATATACATACTCATTTCTAATGCAGGTCTTGAACTAGTTTTTGCTTCGTTAGCCCTGTCATTATTTTCATTAATACCATTGTTACCACTGTTACTGTTACGACTACCACTCCTGGGATTAATGGATGGTTTATTTTTACTATCTTGCATTAATTCTTTATTTTCTATATGATTAGTATTTCCACCACCAACATCAGATAAAATAGACAATCTATCATCTACATTAATATCATCAGAATTTATAGAAACAGTATTAGATAGCTGAGGGTTTTGAGAATTTGAGATTTTATCCGAAGATGATGATGATAATGCTGATGATGAAGATGATGATAAAGATGATGAATACATTGGATGATAATAATCCAGTTTTTGAAATCCAGGAGCATCTTTAAATGCCATAGAACCATGTATATTGCCTTCATTGGTTTTACTTTCCTGTTAGGTATAAAACAAACATACCATTTAGATATAATAAAAACATTTCAGTGTCTATAATGTAACTTACTGTTTAATAAGGATTCATCAGTTGACTTTAATTCGTAAACAAAGTATTTTAAATTAATGTAGAAGACTTGTAACTTAAACGGATAACTGCTTTCGTATTAAAGTCTCTCATGTGAATGAGTAGATCGATGAGCTTGGATTTTCATTTAGGTTGATAAAATTAATTTCCATGTCATACAGAAATATAGTCTTATGATATTGATTTGAACAACGATAGATTGTGCAACACTAACATACTCTACTCAAGTTAAACTTAGTACTAAACAGATCGATTATATCATCAATCAATACAAGAATTTATAACCTTTTAATAATTTTACATAGATTTTTTTAATGGTTTATCATCATTATTTTCAAGGTGGTATTGCAATTCAGCCCCAAGTTAAATGTAATTCCCATCAACAATGTTGGAGTCCCTAACAGCAAACATCAATAAAACAGGAATATATTAACAACATACAATAATAATAATAATATTCTGTGATTAAATATTAAATATGAAAACTCGAAAATGTCAATAAATTCCGGTTCCGTTTTAAATAGCTGTTAGCACTTATCTCTTAAATGTACATGAGTTATTTGCTAAGAAAGTCCCAGCAGCAGTAGGTCTCAACACACACAAAGGGAAAAGCAAGATTCTCTGATATAACACAGCATGAACCAGTCTAATCACAATTGACGGAGAAGATTTCAAAGACGTAAAAACCTTTAAACATCTGGGCAGCGTCATTGATGAACATGGTGGATCTGATGCAGATGTGAAGGCACGGATCGGCAATGCAAGCGCAGCATATTTACAACTGAAGAACATCTGGAAATCAAAACAACTGTCAACTAACACCAAAGTCAGAATTTTCAATACAAATGTGAAGACAGTTCTACTGTATGGGACACAAACTTGGACAACTATGAAATCCATCATCCAGAAGATACAGGTGTTTATTAGCAGTTGTCTACGTGAAATACTTTAGATCCGTTGGCCAGACACTATCAGCTACAACCTACTGTGTGAGAGAACAAACCAGATCCCAGTGGAGGAAGAAATGAGGAAGAAGTGCTGTAAGTGGATAGGACACATATTGAGGAAAGCAACGAACTGCGTCACAAGACAAGCCCTCACATGGAATCCTGAAGGTCGAAGGAGGAGAGGAAGACCAAAGAATACATTAAGCCGAGAAATAGAGATAGATATGAGAAAAATGAAGAAGAATTGGATGGAACTAGAAAAGTAGATCCAGGACAGAGTGTGTTCGAGAATGCTGGTAGTTGGCCTATGCTCCATTGGTATTAACAGGCGTAAGTAAGTAAGTATTTGCCAAGAAACCATATGCTGCTTTATTATATCAAATGTTAGATCTTTTGTAAAATGTATAATCCTATGCTGTTTAAGTAACAGGTTTACAGTGTATTTTGTGGTTGTATCCAATAGTGGAATATAAAATATCCATTTTCTCTTGTTTGAAACTTATTAGGTAGATTTATCTATAAATCAGTATTTATGCTCATACTGAAACTAGAATGTAATGCTCTTTGATGGAGTTTTGTTCACTGAGCTGGATGGTTTGGTTGTAGAGCTTTCATCGTTCTTCTGAATGACATCATCAGAACAAAATTCAGAGAACAAAACTCCATCACAATCATCCATCTGAGCTACAAATCTTCTCCACCATCTCAGAATTACATAATGATTATTACTTTTAAAGTTAACGTATTATTCATTAAACTAATGAATTCAGATAGCTAATAGCCTGAAATCCGTAGCTATTATTGAAACATTGACCAAAGATTGAATATATGTCATCAAAGATTGATCAATAGATATGCTGATTGGGGAATATAATTAGTACTTTTGAAATTATAACTATATTCAATGATTGAAGTTGTCAGGAGGGGTTTTGTGGAGATTTTTGGAAATTTCGCTGGTTGAAATCATGAGTCTGTTGTGAGATATCAACTCACTGAAGACAATAGTGTACTTTGGTGCAACTTCGTGGATTGGTTGAAGTTAGACATTAACACCGTTGGATGCCGGCCAGCTTTGTGGTTTAATGGTTAAGCGCTCGCGCGCAAGACTGATAGGTCCTGGGTTCGAATCTCGTGGGGACCGGATCGTGGATGCACACTGATGAGGAGTCCCATACTAGAACGGAACGGCTGTCCAGTGCTTCCAGGTCTTCCATGTTGGTCTAGCTTCGATTGACTCATTATTTCAACCAGTGAGATTGAAGTTGTATGAAAACAGTAGTTTTAAATAAATAAGAAAAATATCTAATTATTCTATATTTACTTGTATAGTTTTTGAATTAAATTCAGAATTATCGTTACTTTCTAAGTATTCATTCATTGCTAAACTATTTTTAGGAGTTATTATTTCACCACGAATACGAACATGTGGAACTAGAAGATTTCCACTTGGTGATGTTAGCCCAACTTCTAATATATCACCTAATTAAAAGAAAAAAAAATGGGTTGAATAACTTATGATAGAACATATGTGACAATTGATAGGAAGCACAAATTATAGGTTTTATAAAGATTGATATTCATTAAAAATATAATTTTGAAACCTTGAAAGAATTAAAATCATTTGGTATTGTTTTACTTGAATCTTCCCATTGATGTTTAGGACTGCAATTGATCAGTCATCTATTGGCATATGTGTATACTGTACGTATGCCTCGATATTGCCTTAATTCACAAGCATTATAAGATTCAAGTAAACAATACCAAGTGATATTAAACTTCACCTCATTGCACAAGCAAGTGGCTATCAGGACTCAGTAGCCAAGTGGATAACGTGTTGGCGTTTGAAACAAAAGGTACTGGGTTTGAGTCTTAGAGTGAACATCAACTTTGAGATGCAGGTACATCTAGCTGACGAATTTCAAATAGGACGAAATACGCGTCCTAGATTCCACTGCTAGCTACTATCCATCTTTGCTTATAATGCTTGAAAGAATTCTTATGTATAAGACTTAACTGAATCTATCTATATAAAGAATTGGTGAGGTATATATGACTATCGGTTTGACAATTTACCATATGTGATTACAATATAAATCAAAAGTTAAATTTTAATAATTTTGAAAATATTTCTCGATTACAAAAACATATAATCCTTCTTTTAATTTGTTTGAAATTCACTTCCCAATACGAATAACAGCAAGATAATTACAACCTTATTAATAATGATAAAAACGTTATACCCACTGTAAAGGCTAAAGACTATCTGAACTCAATAGATTAGTAGATAACCCGTTTGATTATTGAAACAGTAGGTACTAGGTTCATATCACAGAAAAAAATATCAATACGAGTATAAGTATATTCAATTGATGAGTCTCAAATAAGACGAAAACTATCTCCTGAATTCCATTGCTAATTACATTCTATCTATTCTGTAAAAACAAAAAGTTAATTTCTTTATCTTTAATCCTATTTTTATAACATACGAATTTGAAGTAAATGTGATAATACTGTTTGGTATTTATAGTTTACTAAGAAATAAACAGGATAAAGAATTGATTTCATTGATTTGCTTGTAACAGTTTTTTTTCCATGAAAATAATAATTAATATTTCATAATGGAATAAAAGATATCAAGAAAGAAGATTGATGCAGAATAATAAATGAATTCATTTTATTTCATTAAGTTCTCATTAGCTGCTTACAACCTAAAATATTGGAAAATCAGATTTATTACAGTTATTGACATGCTTATACATAAGAGGGTGATTAATGGATGAATATATGTGTGTATCATGATGTAGCAAAACTCCGCCTGTAGCTCTTCTAGAGTTACTACCGGTCCCAAGCCCGGGTAAAGGAGGAGGTTGGGCAGGGGGTTAGCATCCCCATCACGTAGAAAAACTAACTCATTAAAAAAGACGATAACCAGAAGAAAATTATTCAAACCACTTAAACTCTGTCCTGGGAGTTAGATGGTCTTCATTTAGAAGAAATATGACGCCTCATGGCGAAAGCCGAGCTCCTTCGGAAGTCACGAGGCCGATACCACTTCTGACAACCAGAGCAAACATTTTTGTAGGTACATGGAACGTACGGATACTGCGGGAAACCGGAAAGACCAGTCAAATAGCAACGGAAATGAAGAGATACAACTTGACAGTACTCAGAATCAGCGAAACCTACTGAAACCAAGCTGGACAACAAAGGCTAAATACGGGAGAGATGCTGCTATACTCCGGGAACGAAGAGGAAAATGCTCCACACACTCAGGGAGTTGCTCTAATGCTATCCAAAGTAGCACGAAATGCACTTGTAGGATGGGAATCTCACGGATCCAGAATCATCAAAGCATCATTCAAAATAAAGAAGGAGGGGATCACAATGAACATTATCCAATTTTATGCACCCACCAATGATAGCAACGACGACATTAAAAATCGATTTTATGAGAGAGCTGCAATCAATCATAGAGAAGTGCCCAAGAAAGGACCTCACCATTCTGATGGGAGATCTAAACGCCAAAGTCGGAATAGACAACACCGGATATGAAGATATCATGGGACAACATGGACTGGGAGAGAGAAACGAAAACGGGGAAAGATCCGCAAATCTGTGTGCATTCAACATTCCTTCGAGATACTGACAAACTCAATGAATTCAAGATAACTCTCAACAACAGGTTCCAAGCCTTACAGGATCTACTGAAGGAAGAAGAAACTACTATGGAAGACAACTGAAAAGGTATCAAAAAAGCATCAACTTGATTGTGTCAAGAAGTTCTGGACCTTAAGAAGCATCATCACAAGGAATGGATCTCTATAGAAACACTGAACAGGATCAAAGAAAAGATGAACAAGAAGACAGCAACTAAAAACAGCCGAACATAACCAGAGGAAGTCCAAGCACAAGCTAAATACATAGGAGCAAACAAGCAAGTGAAGAAGAGCGTTAGAGCCGACAAACAGAAATACGTGGAAGAACTAGCAACGACGGCGGAAAAAGCTGCAAGAGAAAGAAATATGAGACAGCTTTACGATACGACGAAGAAGCTAGCAGGGAAATATACTAAACCAGAGAGACCAGTCAATGACAAAGAAGGAAGACCAGTCACTGAAATTCAACAACAGTGGAACAGATGGGCAGAGTACTTCGAGGAACTTCTAAATAGGCCGACTTCAATCAATCCACCGGACATCGAAGCAGCACACACAGATCTTCCTATAGATGTCAATCCACCAACGACCGAAGAAATCAGAATGGCCATCAGATAAATCAAGAGCGGGAAAGCAGCAGGACCCGACAGTATACCAGCTGAAGTATTGAAGTCAGACATCGAAGTAACTACACATATGCTTCATCTTCTATTCAAGAAGATTTGGGAGGAGGAACAAGTGCCGATTAACTGGAAAGAAGGAGACCTCATCAAGATTCCAAAGAAAGGAGATCTGAGAAAGTGTGAAAACTACAGAGGCATCACACTACTGTCAGTACCAGGGAAAGTCTTCCTCTGAGTGTTGCTGAACCGGATGAAAGACGCAGTTGACGCTCAACTTCCGGATCAACAGACTGGATTCCGTAAGGATCGGTCGTGCATAGACCATATTGGGTCACTACGAGTCATCATCGAACAATCAATTGAGTGGGACTCTTCACTGTACATCAATTTCATTGATTATGGAAAGGCATTTGACAGTGTAGATAGGAGAACGTTATGGAAACTTCTTCGACACTACGAAGTTCCTGAGAAGATTGTCAACATTATCCGGAACACATATGATGGACTACAGTGCAAAGTAGTGTATGAAGGACAGCTGACAGATGCATTCCAAGTAAGGACTGGAGTCAGATAAGACTGTCTACTCTCCCCCTTCCTGTTTCTTCTGGTGGTCGACTGGATTATGAAGACCGCGACATGTGAGGGAAAACACGGCATACAATGGACAGCTCAGAACCAATGAGACGATTTGGACTTCGCAGATAAATAAATAAATAAAGGGGGTTAATGTTATCAGGGCAAAGAAAGATTTATTACTGTCTCCTTTCGGATACACAGATCTGGTTTTAGACATTTGAATGTAATCGCTTCGGCAAATTTCAAAAGGTTGAAGTTTGATTGTTTGTTAATTAACTTGAAGGACTTCAGTGTATTGACTTCATGTCCTGTATCAAGAAGATGTCTTGTGATGGCACTGCTGAATGTTTTTAATCCATTAGTTCTTAAACTCTTCGAAATATGTTCTCTGAATCGGACGTTGGTTCTACTTTCAGTTCTACTAATGCAACTGCTTCAGCAGATACATGTAAATTTGTAAACACAGTTAGTAGTAACATGATAGGGATACCTGTTGACCTTTGATTATGTCAAAGAATATATTGTGTTGGACAGGAAAATCAATTTAGCTGCAGGATAAGTTCTTGTACTTACTTACTTACGCCTGTTACTCCTCGTGAAGGAGCATAGGCCGCTCACCAACATTCTCCATCCAACCCTGACCCGGGCATAAGTTCTTGTGTATGGAATAAAATATACTAAAATGTTTATACAATATAGACAAGTATACTGATTTCAAGTTTAGTATACATGATTCTCAGCTCCATTGACTATTGGGTAAATTTTGTTTAAAAAATTCACTTTTAGCATGTTTGAACTAATGTTCATGAATAAACACACCTTCATAAAGTAACCTAGACACCATTTTAAAAGGACAAGAATGTGTCAAAAGTCAGAACAAGGCTGATATACTAGTGAATAACTGAAGAATAACATTCTTCATAAATACACATGAATAACAAATTGAGCTGATTAGTCAAGAATCTTTTCAATACAATCTTATCTAAGACTCATGATTATTGTTTTAATATATTTAACTTTATTGCATTTAAAGAATATCCTTACCAGAAAATTTGATTTTTCTGTGAAGAAACCATACTATTGGACCAGACCAATAATTACTTGCATTAATTAATGTTATGTTCTTTACAATTCCATTACGTAAGACCTTTCTGTATGTTTGTTGATTACGTGATATGGAATGATCACCAGTTCGAAGTAAATGTGGTTTCATACGTACTGAACGACGAGATAATCCAAAAAATCTATCATTATTTTGTCGAATAAATGGAGATTTCGATAAAATCTGAGATTCTGATGTGAAAAAAGTTGAAGTTGGAGATACTCCTCTTACAGAACGTTGTTTTCTTTCTACTAATCCAGGTGAACTAGTTTCAATCCAGAATAGATCAGGTCGACAATTTTTAATTGATAAGTTCATTGGAATCTTATCTTTTCCATAAAGTCGTTCATAAATCTAAAAAACGAAGTGATGAGAAATGTATGACTTAGTTTTTTTTTAATGTTCACATATAATTTTAACAATTAACCATAAAACGTCTATACAAGTCTATCATCACATGCTAAATGGTTTGAGTTTATCTCATCTGAGTATACACTGGTTGCTGATACCAAAAATCTACACAACCCCTGTACTGATAATTAACATATGTGCTCACTAGTGACTAGTTTCGTGAGGGAATTCTCGGGGTTCTAATGAGAAGCCGTGACCAGTGGAGCTAATCCGTGTCGATTAGAGACAGGTATCTACATCAGTACAATGGAAGATGGTCGCGCAATTTCGTGGATTGGTTAAAGTTAGACACTAACACCATTGGATGCCAGGCAGCTCAGTAGTCCAGTAGGTTAAGCGTTCGCATACGAGACTGAAGGCACTGGATTTGAATACCGCATGGCGGGATCATGGATGAGGACTACTGAGAAGTCCGAAAATAGGACGAAACGGTTGTCCAGTGCTTCCAGTTTTGCAGTGGTTATCTAACATCAATCGGTTAATGATCTTAATCAAAAACTTGATACCTTTTCCATTGGATTGAATTACTAACTAATGAATTTGGGTGAAATGGTTTAGAATTTATTGTAGTGGCATGGATCTTATTTCAAATATTATTTATAGCTAATGTATGTTAAAAATTAAAATTCAGGATCTAATAAAAGACAAACAGTGAATCAATCTGCTTCATTGTGATTGATTTTGAGTCATGTCAGTAAATGTTACCAATCTACATATTGATCTTGGCTATCTTAATGACTTTAACCAGGTTGTTTTCATTAGTGAATTGGTCTTACGTTTCGGTTTAAACTTCTTCCAACTTACTTCTATACAAGTCAAGAATATAAGTTTGGAGTAGGCAGTGGTTAGTAATAAACAAAAGAAAACCCATTTACCTTGGTAGATATAGATTCACAGACCGACCAATCAATTTACTATTCTCACTAAGCATCTTATTAAACACGAGATCTCTCACTCAATCATTCCATAATACTCACAAATCATGTATTATAACCAGTGAATATAATGAATAGGACTATTGTACGGTAAAAACTTATAGCAGCTCATGTACAATTGAGTTTGTTTACATTTAATTTAGTTAAGCTTTTTTGTTAACCTATTTATTTCACATGCACGTTCACTCACTCTCTCACTTGCTTTTCAGCATTATTCTTTCATGCTTGCTTAGCGTATCTTTAATTTTGGTGATCTGTACGTGGTGCAATAATAAACTTAATCAACACTTCGTATTTGCCTTCTGATTAATACACCCATTAGGGTGTTATCTAGTGACAGTTATCAGGACGAATTGTATACGAAGTTCAAGGATTATATTGAATACCGACCACCACAAACTTAAACTAGTGAATACTTTTATGTCAGACTCGATTTTTCTTTGATAGATTACAATATTTCATCATAACTAATTTACACAAACTAAACTCAACAAAAAATAATTATGACAAATTTATCGATACTCATTTTTCATTTACTTTTTTTTCTTTTCTACAATCCCTCTTTTCAATTTTAATTCTATCCCTGAGTACCAGTTCAATTATATCAATTCTGTGAATATTAAAACGAACAAAATATCCTACTAACTGACTACAAAGAAAAATATATTGATCATTGAGTCTTGAAGAAATATATATATATATATATATATATATATATATATATATATATATATAAGCAAAGATAAATAATGGCTAGCAGTACAATCCAGTTTGACGCGCATTTCGACCTATTTGGGACTCGTCAACTGGATATACCTGCATCTTAGAGTTGATGCTCATTATGAGATTCGAACCCAGGACTCAGTAGCTATGTGAATAACGTGATGGTGTTTGAATCGGACGGTACTGGGTTCAAGTTCAGGAGTGAACATCAACTCTGAGATGCAGGTACATCCAGCTGACGAGTCACAAATAGGACGAAAAGCACATCAAATTTGATTCCACTAACTAGTCACTATCCCTTTTTCTTTAAAAAGCTTTTGACTTAAAGTTATATTGAGGCAATCCATACAGGATGTACATATACCAACAAGAGATTAATCAATTACAGTCTTAAATAATAATAGGAAGATACAAGTAAACTAACAATATATTTATATATCATTGTTTTTGATGGAGTTTTGTTCTTTGAGCTGGATGGTTTGATCGATCAAACCATCCAGCTCAAAGAACAAAACTCCATCAAAATCATCCACCTAAGTTAAAAATCTTCTCGACCATCTCAATATATAATTGTTTCTATCAATTCAATAAATTCTTATATACAATTTCTTTAATCAAAAATAAATCTTAAATTTATTGTTTTTTTTTCTCCTTTCTATCTATCGGTCATCATTTGATTGGTTGATCAATCCGTTTAATATTGATCGTAGATTTAATTAAATTGAAACCAATTTTGATATAGAAAAGAAAAATAAGTTAGAACATTGAAAGAAATTTTTGTTGTTGTTGTTGTAAAAATTTGACTGATAAAAATTAGTTTTTCTATCGATTGTATTTATGATTGTTATTGTTACTGTTACTGTTTGTGTTGTTGTTGTTGTTGTTGTTGATGATGATGATGATGTTTAACCGATAGGTTTCGGGTTCGAATCTTGGATGCTCACTGTTGAAGAGTTCCATATTAGAATGAAACGGCAATCCAATACTTCTAGATTTTCTATGATGGTCTATATTAATTTAGAAAGATTAGTTCAGTGAATAGTTCTCCTCTTTTCGGCGAATTCATTTTCAAAACTGTACAATCACAAATATATATACTTATTTTAATAGGATGATAATAATACTGATAATAAACTTCTGTTAGGCATGTTAACAGTGAGGTTAAATAAACAAAGTTATTAAAAAAAATTCTTTCGATTGTACAGTTTTGGAAATGAATTCTCTGTAAAAAGGGAGAACTTTTCGCTGAACTAATCTTTCTTAATTAATGTTATAATAGATGTGTTTCGTTTATTAAAAAATTCCAAGGTCTAGATTAAATCGATTTATAAATTCATTTATTAAATTACTATAATCTCCACACACAAAAAAAAACTTCTCTCTGATTTTATTCATTTATTTAACTTTTTAAAACTTTTAAGTAGTATATGGTGTATGAGCTGATTGACATGTTTTTACTGGTTATGCCTTCTTTTTTTAATATGGTAACATTTATTAGAGATTGATTTCATTAAGAGTATAATTGAGAATCAAAGAGTACAAGATAAATTTTTCATTCTAGTATAGCGCTTCTTGGCAGTGTACATTTAAAACAATGTCATGTAAAAACCCAGGATTTTCAGATTTCCCTGTGAATGTTTAACCGTTAAGATTACTGGGCTGGCTTGTTTTAGTCCAAGCTCAACTTTAACCAAACCAGTAATGAAAACGTTGTCACTCTGAACTCTAACAGTCACTACCTCTTTGCTGAAATTCTTGGAAATCTTGAAGGAAGTTACTAGTTACATGACATTTATAGTTTATTTGTAGAAATTCTTTGGATATGCTTTAATTTATTAGCTTAATACTAATTTAGAGAGTCTACGTATTATACTTTTATATGACAAAGAGACTGAATAATAATTATTTTAATAACATAATCTTAAGTATTGTAACTAAAAGTTGTCTATGTGAAAGATGGAAAATTTTCATTCAAATATAAAACATCATTATATACATTGCTCATTATCTGTTAAAATGAATAACATGAATAATGACGAATAACTGTATATTTTGCATATCATAGGATGGTAACATATGTTGTTTGAGTTCTCGTGTAATTTTAGTGAAATATACTTTATTAAAATGAGTTTGAGAAATCACATAACTCAAAAGATCTGTTTTATCTGGTATTGTTGTTTGTTATGTTTTTTTTGTGTTATCTAAACATCTATCTTTCACTAAATGCTAATGAGTTGTTTTATCTAACAAATTATGTCATTTGATGGTTTTATTGTAATCATCTGTTATATTTCTGGAACAGACGACCAAATTTTATGTAATTTATACAATGCAACATAATAGAAATAAAAGAAAGTTATACAAGTTTAAGACTAACCAAAAACTAAAATAAAATTTTCTTATTAAGATCAGTATTCATGGAAAATATCTTGAACAAGTTGTCATGTTAACACAAGTCTAAGCAACCAGATATCATATAAATTATACTTTGATTTTAAATGATTTTAAAGGAATTGACAAAAAAAACTTTAACACCACCTGTAGCTATTCTAGAGTTATTGCCGGTCTCAAGTCCAGATAAAGAAGGAGGCTTAGGCATAGAGTTAGAGACCCCATCCCGTGGAAAACTAACTCGATAACTTACTAAAATTTGATACTAATCAACAAAGTTTGATTACTCAAATTAGTGAATTTATTTCCAGCATAATTCAAATACCCGCCTTGTTTTATGGTTAGATAATAATTATAATTTTCTGAATCTTTATCGAAAGCTTTGATGTTTAATAAATAGAAATAAATCACTTATACTTCACATTAGAGTTTTATCTGCAATAAATATACTCCACATTCATTAGATACCGGAGAATATATATCATTATGAAGCATCACTTTTCATGGTAAGGAAGATGGTATCAATGTACTGTTTCTAAATTAATTTTAATATCATTAAACAGATTTTGTTTTGGTATCTGATTGTTTCATCCTACTCAAAGTAATAGTTCTCTTCGATAACCATAAGTTAAAATAATAATGATCTAACTATCAAGATCATGTTATATGAAACAATTAGTTTTTTTAGAATTAATTTATCGATCGTTTTCTCTCTATGCAAATGGTCATATTGACTAATTGTATAGAGTCGTATATTAAATGTCAAGATAATATACATTTAACAAGGTCCGGACGTTAAGTCATGGGTTTTCGCGCACAGGTTACAAATTGTCGAGGATTTTGGGATGTCGTTACTTATTAGCTATCAACAGCACTTTTTTCCCATCACAAGTCAATGTTCGTAATGTTTGTGCTTGTTACATAGCTTTTATTTTAGTTTATCAGTAATTTGACGTATTTGTTGCTTAAAACCTGGGTAAATGTTTAGTCAGCTTAATATAGTTATTTGTAACAATGCAAACTCAGGCAAGTGAAATTCACTATGATGAACTATATAGTTCATGTTTCGTAATTGATCAAGCCTTCCTGGAAGAGTTCGTCTTCTTATATATGCCAGAAGCACATGACGACAAGGACACTGGCATGTCCCAGTTTATCCACGATTCAGATTACATCTGCTAGCAATACGTTTTACTTTCAGGAAAACAGAACAGGACCCCATTAACCAAAATTATCCCCAAAATGGGGAGATGGGGAAGTTGCGAAGCAACAATCGATTCAACGTGTGCACTACAAGACAGACAGACAGACAGAGAGAGAGAGTTAAAACAATGTTCTTCGCAATGATTTTGTGGTTTTGCTGCAGCAAAAGACTACTTAAATATGAGAACACCTAGCATTCCTACAACCCAATGGATACCCAACAAACCTACAGTATTTGAAATACGGAATAACCTCCTCTTATAAAGCCGTTCAAGGTCATTGAAACGGAACGGCGGGCACATTTGAAAGGGTCTGATGATATTACCCGTGCTCAAACATTTATTATTTTGTATTACACTTCCACTAAGTACTTTTAAGAAACATAAATTACTAATATAACAATTAGTTGTACTATTGATGTAAATTATCTACCTCAGTCATTCGATTCCATAAAATAGATGAACCATCAGATAAATGTATCCATACAATAAGAAATCCAATAGGATTACCGATTGTCACTGCATTGAATTGATTTGTTTGATTATTATAATTATAATTATCATTATTATTATTATTATTAGATAATATTGACATTTTTCTATGTGTATATAAATTTGGTTGATTAAATTCTGAATTAATTGATCCACTATGAGTTAATTGACTACCTTTTAATTCAATTTTAAGTGAATAAACACCAGATAGAATTGGCATACGTTCTGTAGATGATGATGATGATGATGATGATAAGAATAAATTATCGTTATTATTATCAATATTATTATTATTATTATTTGAAGATGATAGAGTTGAACTTGTTCTTTGATGTGTATCATCCATACCAGATGAATGACTAACAGAGATAGAGAAATCTATTAAAAAATCAAAAAATAAAGGATAATTCATGTATTAGTGAATAGATTTTTTTTTATAGGAAAGAAATTTTAATATTTTTAATCGATGAATTCATGAGTTAATTTAAAATAGATTATCATTGTAAACTTGGAAGCATTGGAGAACTGTTTTATCTTAGTATGGGACTATATGACAGTGCAGACTCAAGATGTCACACACACAGGAATCATAATCAGGAATTCCGGTTTCGCTTGAACATTTAACCTTCAAACCATTGAACTGGATCGATTGAAGTTGGATATTAACATGGTTAGATGTCGACTCAGTAGTGTCATAACAGTAACATGGTTTACCTAAGTAGTTAAAACATTGTACTCTTACACAATAAAAACATCCATATATATGTATATAATGAATAAGTAATTAGTAAATTGATACTACTTGATAATGTAATAAGAATTCCATTGATACGTTTAATAAAGTTTTCATAAATGATCGTATTTTACGTTCTCTCTGTCGTCACAATACATATGAATTGATGAGTTTTAAGCGATAACAAACTCATTGGTAGATTTTATTCAAAGAATCCATTCAGTCAATTCAATAATGAATATATCTTATCAATGATAAATGATTAAACACAATGAAATTCATGCTGTTCCACTTCAATTCTATGTTTTATTTATTCTACTTAAAATGAAAATCGAACAATTCGAAAGATTTCAGTGGTTGAGATCATGAGTGAATTAAAGCTAGACCAACATAGAAAGCCTGGAAGAACTGGATAGCTGTTTCGTCGTATTGTGAGACTTCTCAGTAGTGTGCATCTACGATCCCGCCCCCACGAGACTCAAACCCGGGATCTATCAGTCTTGCGTGCAATATATTGCACACATGAAGGTATTTTCATCCACCTGTAAGGGTAGATGGTCACTGCTGTCTTAGAACGTATTTGATACAACGTATTACATGCATATCACTGTTACAAAGGCTTTCGCCCCTGTACTTCATGAAATACAATTGAGCATAAGCACTTTTTAAAGGAAGCTTGATGATCACATATCTGAATTATTTGCTGCCATATATTTTCATTATATCCTCGACCTGAAGGACAGAAATGTTTCAGCCTACGTTTTTTGTGTTAACTCACGAGAGTACCCCTCGCATATACATACATACATAAACCACACTAGTCCGGACTGATGCAATTCATGTACATAAGCATACACATCGGGTAGCTCCCAAAATTTTTAGAGAGCCTCGAGAATAGAACCCATTTATTCTGATTTACAGCTGAGTGATGGATAAGTCCTATTTCTGTCGACTGCTTAAGATAGCTAACAAAGTTGACTCTAATACTCAGCAGCTCCGTGAGGAGGCCCTAAGTTGGATTTTGTTTCCTCTTCAATGGTAATATATATATATATATATATATATATATATATATATATGCATCGTTGGATACCAGCTCAGTGATCTAGAAGCTGAGGGTTCGAGCACAAGGCCAGAGGTCTTGGGTCTGATCCTAGAGTTAGATGTTCCAAGTATAAACCGCTGAGGATTCCCACCCATATTGGAATGAAATGGTCTTCCAGTGTGTTATAACTGAACGAGAATAAATGATTGGTGAACGCTAAGAATTATTTATGAACTAATATTATACGTATATTCTTCTTATGTGACTATTAAGTAACTATATTATATGTATATTCATATTCCTTCCATTATAACCTTTTATTTAACCTATTGACTATTATCATACAATTTACTATTCTTGAGATATTCCAAATTTATTAGTAACAGCCAATTTTTGGCTTGATCTTGTACAATTGTTATTTTCTATCCATGACATGATGCTGTCCGGTTTATTTATATATAAACCCAGTATGTCTAAAATACATGATTTGTATTGCGGAGGCTGATATTGACATTCCGAACTAAACCGGCTGGGTTTGAAGAGATATTACTGTGAGACTATAATTTATGGACGACATTTAGGCGACGCTAGACTGACTTTGAAAGTGTTCACCTAATAACCAGAACCGAATGAGGGTTATAAACCTGTTTGAGGAATTAGAATTATGATTTACAGTTGATGGTTAAGGTTAAGAATTAGATTTAAGATTTTCATCACGAACTGACATTAGCTATAAATAACGCTAAAACTCTATTTAACTAAGTACGTGAATGAGTTTCTCGCCATAATCCAAAAGATGTTATACCTAATTGGATTGATTTGTCGATAAATTATAATCTCACCGATATTACTCTCAGTGGACCAATAAGAACTCTAGGCTATTTGTGTCGATTTAGACGTCATTATTCTGATCGTATAAATTGGTATCTCTAATTAACTGTCATATCACATGAGTTGATTAATCGAGCATAACGAAATAACACATTACTCTCAGCATTTCAGTAATAATCTATCTAAGATCATTTCATCATCTCAACTATGAAAATATAATACAAACATTACAATGAATCTAAACATATTCCCCAATTTTTCTTTATATCTCGTAATCACAATTGATTGATCACTTGGTGATGATCAATGTCGTGTGTGTCTAGTCCTTATTAGTACAGATCGAATGCTATCGACCAAGTTGAAATGTGGCCACCAGTCTAGGTGACTCGACACTGCGTGCACTATATATTGAGATTAGATGGTGGTTGGAAGTAGTCGACAGGAAACCCTGGAGCCAGGTTTTGTACTACTTGGCACTCGTCTGCAAGCTGTACCTGTAATCTTGAGGGAACTGGTGCTCCTTGATCCCGTGCTTCGATCCCATGTCACCCAGCTTTACAGTCAGAAACGTTACCACTGAGCTATCTGAGCCGCGACCAAGTGCCAAGTAGAACGAAACCCAGATCCAGGGTTTCCTGTCGACTAATTTTAACCACCATCTAATTTTATATCTCGTCCTAAGATAATAAAAAAAAGACAAAAACAAAACACATTCTATAAACTAACCTGTTACTAATTGTGCAGATAATCCAACAGGCCATATACTTGTTTCATCTGTAACATGAACAGTTATACTTGGCTCTTTAAATTGTTCATCATTTTTTAATAATAATGATTGATTATTATTATTATTATTATTATTGTAATGTATGATCTTTTAATTGTTTTATTAAACCTGGTGGTATAAATGTATTTAATAAATTTCTATTAATTGGTGATAAATATATTTTAACATTACCAATTGATTGTCCAATAATCCATACACGTAATGGTTTAATTAATTGATTAGAATTTATTGATGAGGATAATGATGAGGATAATAATAATGTAGAAGATAATTGATTTGATAATTTTTGATTATAATGATCACCTATTTTTATTAAACGTATTGGTAATTTATAATGATTAATTATTGATTGATTTAGATTGATTATATAATTTTCATTGGAATTTTTTAATAAATTATTATTATTATTATTAATTACATTTTCATGAATATATTCTAAACGTAAACGATGTATTGTAAATTCAGTTACATCAACATATTGATTAATACGTCCACCAAGTACATCTTTATCATGTAAAACAGAACTAGCTAAAATAAAACTAGAGAAAAGAAAAAAAAGATAAAGAAAAAAATGGAAGATAACTAAGAAAATTTATTATATTTTATTTAAACAAATAAACATTGGCATAAGAAGGCATAAGTCATTTAATATATGTGAGAGCTAGGATACTACCCGAGTGCACAAACCAAAGTAAGTGGTTTACTTAAGGAGCCATATTCGAAAACTTTGACCTAAGGGTCTGATACACAAGGCAGTGGAGCAACGTAAAGAGATGAAGTCTCATGCTAGCCGTTGATCAACGATTACTTCATACACCATTTGTTTCTTTAGGATACTGGAGCATATGTACACCATTGGTTTGAAATCAGGGTATTCTAACTCCTGTAGGTGAACTCTGCGTCTTCATCAAACCAATTAAAGTGCCAGATATTCGCTTTTTGTCTTCTAAGTTTCATTAAACAACATTGCCATCGCGAAAAGGCAGTAAGTAGAACTTCTCTGGCAGTGGTTATATATACGTGGACACGTGAGAACAAAATTAAAAATAAATAAAAAAAGTATATTAAAAAATATGTGAATATTTTTGTTATTGTTATAATGAAGAATCATTAAAATAAATAAACATATGGTGAAGAACATCTGTTCACATTTACTATGCAAGGATTATCTTAAAAATTTAGTTATTACATTAAGTACAATTCAATAGTGATTGACTTTGAGAGGCATTTCCTGGAGTTCTAGTGAGAAGCAGTAACCAGTGGAGTTCAACCGGGAATGTTGTGAGATAGTAACTCACTGAAGACAATGGTGGATGTGTCGCTCAATTTCGTGGATTGTGTGAGGTTAGACATTAACACCGTTAGATGCCGACTAGCTCAATGGTCTATTGGTTAAGCGTTTGCGCGCGAGACTGATAGGTTCTGGGTTCGAATTTCGTAGGGGGCGAGATCGCGGATACGTATTACTGAAAAGTTCCACAATAGAACGAAACGACCGCCCAGTGCTTCCAAGTTTTCCATGGTGATCTAGCTTCAATTGAATTACGATCTCAACTGTCAAAAATTACTAAAATATCCAGAAAAACCTCTCCTGATATGAATATTTATTTATCTGATTTCATTAAATTTGATATATGAACATTGGATTAGAACTTTGTAATAGGTTCTGCATTGACAAAATTCTTTTACATTTGATCTTCGTATGGCAGAAAAATGGTTTGAATTAAGATTAAGGTGTGAAAGGTTGTAGACCTGTGATTTCGTAACATATCTGACTAGTTTTGTATTCTTATTATGAGCGAGTAAATTATGTGAGATAATTTTTTAAATGATATTTCAACGAGTTCATGATAGTTTATATTTAGGAGATAAAAGTATTGACATGTTCATTGATAACTTTTAACTACTGGAAACTTCTGGAAACATGACAAATTTAGCTACAGATTAAGTAATTGTAAATCACCAGCGTAGGTGATCTATGTCGAATGACTGGAGGCCTACATGAGTTAGACGGGAATGGTGTGACGAACCAGCTAACGTCGAAGTCACACCTCGTGGTTAGCACCTTACGTGGACTACCCCATTGACGTATCAAGGTACCATAGATGCTTTGAAGACTGTACAACACATAGGACATTATTACAGAAATATATTACTTAAAGTAGATACAAGCGAAAGTAAGACCACCACCGCATGGGCCAGCTCATGGCGTACGATTAACTGATGCGCGTTGGTTGCCCTTGACCTTGACAAGGATCGATGATTTGCTTGATATTCAATGACTTAAATGCCGGATGACTTGGTTGGGGCTCAGTGAAATTTCACTAGCCCTACATAATCATTAAATAAGTGTGCCACATAATTAATCAACTTTTTAGGAGTTTAAAATGTCTTTTCTAATTAGAAGAAGTGTTTTCAACTTTCTTCTAACTTCTAAAGACCTTTCAGCGATTTCAACTATTTCTGAGTTAAGTCAATAAATTACACATAGTATAGTGTGTCTTCAAAAAGCATCTATTTAATTACAATCAACTTGATGACTTTAGAAATTTTTATATTTAATTCCTATACGGATTTTAAAGCATTTTCGGTATACACTAATCCTTTAAAAAAAGCATTGAATTTAATGTAAATTTCTATGTGTGGTTACTATGGTTACTATGGATTTTTTACATTTAAAAATAATATATTTCAATCACGAACTGACATCGGTTCAAAATAAAAACATATTGATGTCAAAAAAAGAATAGCTTAGCTAACATTTTCATCCGAGTTTTAAACTTTTCAATGACTAAACTAATAATCCAGATTAAAGTAGTTGTGTATGTTGACCTTTTCACTGATCTTAGAAATTTTGTCAGTTCTGATACATTAGCATCTATTGATATCTAGACATCAATTCACGAATTCGCAGAGCTTTGATTAGCGCAATTGTATTCAAGCTTCGTTGTAAATATACTGATACTTTGAAAATTATATTATCTATACTTAATCTTTTCTATTGATACTGATACTATTACTGCTATAGTCACTGTGATATTTATTTTGATAATTTCATTTGATTCTTCTTATGGACTGTGACAATTTGAACAGATGCATACTGTTGTGAATTTAAGCTCGACTAATTGTCACGTGACTTAATCACCAATCGGAATACCAGTTACACAATTTTAACACTGTGCCGAACCAATGACGTTCGACTAGTATGAGTAAGCTAGTGTTCTTAATGGTCCTTTGTCCTCCTAGCCCTGTAAGTTGAGTCCAGAACGCCAATAACAGCTTCCAATATGCGAATCATTTATTTCAAATATACTTGGTTTATATACCAGCCAAAAAGATCGCATCACATAAAATAGGAAATAACATTTATACAAGATCAAGCCAAAAAGTGGCTGTGAACTTGGGAGACTGTAATCAATAAACTGAACATAGATTACGAACAGTAAATCGTATAATAATGATCTATAGATCAAAATGAAGCTTATAATAAGAAGAATATAGATATACATAATCTAGTTGCTTAATAGTTGTACAATAAGAATATATATATATAATATTAGTTCAGTAGTAGTTCTCAGAAGTTAGCCGTAATTTAATCTTCATTAGAATATAAAACATACATTTGCCAAATTCTACATTATTGACTGCTAGACTAACTTGTGGCGTTCAGTTTTTGTACAGGATCAAATATAAAACAAGAATAGTATAACATTAAAACAAACTAAACAATATCGATTTCACCTTTATGAATGATATAAAATAACATTCCCTTCAACGATTATACAAAAACTGAACAACTATCTAATTTGACATATTTCTGAGCGATTGAATTATTAATCAACTAGGTTGCTGACACTATACACAAATGACAACCAGTTTGTATTAATATCAATAGTTTTTGTAGAGATTGTAGTGATTTCAATAGTTGACATCATGAGTCAATTGAAGTTAGACCAACATGGGAAACCTGGAAGCACTGAACAGCCGTTTCATCCTATTGTGAGACTCTTCAGCAATGCGCATCCACGACTGATAGGTCCTGGGTTCAATTTATATTAATTCAAAAATGAAAATATTTTTCATTATGTTATGACAAATGATATTATTCAATAATCTTGGATATGCTACTTTTGAACTTCCATTGACGAATAACTGCGTCTAGACATGATTTTTTAAGACTAACTCAGTTGTACATACAGTTAATGAAATTCATGATCAAATCTATAGATTCAGCAGTTTAAAAATCCTCATAGAATATTCAAAAATGAAGAATATTTGAGCGAACAATTGTTTTCAAAAACTTCATCATCACCATTCTTTCTCACTTGGTAGACACTAAACATCATATCAAAATAAAGGAACTTTTCTCTATTTTATATCAAGTTCCAAAATATCTACCTCAACGAGCTAGATTATGACTGCTTTACATAGCCGAAGCCATCTGGATCGACTTCAGAAAACCAAATTTATGTATCTAGAAAAGTATATCCAGCCTCTATGTTTACCTTGGCCCACGACTGGATCACCGAATACCTAGACTGAATATTATAAACCTCTTACCCCCTTTCTTTATTTTTATCTATTTTTTTCCTGATTATTACTATTTTTGATTACCTCTATCTTCACATCCATCATTACCAATTCGTTGATCGTAATTACCTTGATAACACCCCCTACCCCTATATTACATATTATATTCACACAACAATATTATTATTATTATCTCAATTGACAAGATGAAATTCTCCTACTATGCACTTTATTCACATAATTTTTTGCATTTTCATATTGCTATAATACTATTATACTCATTGTGACTGAACACTTTACTTCTAATCATCCTGACCTTTATTGAATGACCTTTCTAATTTGCGAATAATACAATTTTGAAGTATCAACATGTCGTAACAGATGCAAAAGTGTACCAATATTTTAACACATAATATTATCAAATTCATTAATACATTGCGTTAATTTGGCCTATGTAATATATTATAATTATGGACTTATAACTGTAGAGCCTGATGATAAAGTTATTGAAAACAATTGTTCGCTCAAATATTCTTCATTTTTGTATATTCTATAGATTCATTTGGTTTCTATTTAATGAGCATATCACTAAACAGCGAACTTTGAGATCTGATACGTTCTTCATTCAATTTGGTAGTACTAAATGATCATTTATGGGAATAAAATTATGTTTAAATCATAACAATCTCTTTCTACAAAGTACATTTGCAAATAGAAGGTTTAATTACATATGCAACATACAAAACTTATTTAGTGATATCTAAAAAAAAGTTAGTAAATTCGTACATAAATTAAGTCTAAGGTTTCTTACTGACTATCTCGAATCGCCTAACATCGAAATATAGGGCATACGATGTCAGGTCAATCACACTAATAATCACATTGAAACACGATCGTAGTAAAAATTCGAATAACATGGCATTGGTCCTTAATTAGTGTCTAAGCATTATAAAAATACTTCAGTTCAGCAGGAGGTCATTTTAGACATTCTTAGCTTTGGGATATCATC